TTTCATGCTTGAATGACAAACAATGCAGTCTTTGCACTATCAGTATGTTGGACCGTCTTTCATCTTACACTGATAAAGTTGATGCATCATGACAAGATTTTTGATAATCTGTTCATTACATACTCAATATCTTAAAACCAGCTTCCCTTACATTTACAACAATTGAAATGTAGATGAATGTCAGGTGAGTAAAGCAACAGGTTCTAAACTAGGCAGATATAGCCTCAATTTCATGCTTGTGTTACTTTTGTGTTTTACTTTCATGTTTTCAGTTATCTGTCGCATCCTCAGTATCTTGGACCATGAGAATTGATATGTAGGTGCATCTCAAAAGAGAGTAACAAAGCTATGTGAAAAGTAGGCCATATTTTCAAACACAATTCTTGGGGTTTTTTTAAATACTGGTCCAACATATATTATTGGTCACTCTTGGTATGCTCCTGTTGTTGAGGTAGTTCGTGTTTTGAAGAAGATTTCAAATAATCAAATAAATCTTAATTAACCCTTTCCCTCTAATAAAATTTAAACTTTGTGACCAAAATATGTCAGTGATATTAGTTTAAAAAAGACCTATTTTCAAAATAAATTCATTATTTTGAATGATGAATGTTCCTCCATTGCAAGCATGTAACATGGATAAATATATAATTTAAATAAAATATACAAATAACATTAAATGCATAACAAAAAAGAATAAGTTTTGATTGCTACATGCCTTGTAACTATAGTAACAGAATGGTCAATGAGGTTAATGTAACTTTCATGATGCTTGTTGAACCATGGAGAAATGAATCTTTAGGTAAAAAAAGAAGACAAAAAATACAGAGAAACAAATGAAAAATTTGACATGTATATATAAAGGTCTCACAACTGATGGAATAATTCTAAGTGAATACAATTAAAAGTATGTAAGAAGTGTATGGACACAAATGCAACATTTCTGTATCACAATGAAAGGAAAGTACATTGTTGATTAGACCTGCTCATAAAGATCACAATATAGACAATGTAAAACAGCAAACCATGTGAACACTGCCTTATTTCTGTCAAGAGAGATTATCAGCACTGGTTACCATGGTACCCAGTTTGGTGGGTGGATGCAAAAATATAATTAGAAACATAATTTCAGTGAATTTATAAAATGCATAGCAAACAATTTTTTTTTCATTGTGTGCTACAAGTGACATAAATAAATTTTATTGTTTCTGGTATCATCATTGTCAATATGTATGTAGAATATAAGCAGCAGTTTTACAGAAATGGTTAAATTGTACCATTGTATAACTTGTTCTATATGAATGTTCAAGGAAATGCAAAATTAATTTGAGGTTGTTTTGAGGTATGATGGTATTGTTATTAATATTTCAGAAGATTATCTACATCTCATCATTAGATTAAAAATTTCACAGCAGCAGAAAAAATGAGTTTATGAATGTAGTTTTTACACAGCTGAAATATAGACCTAAACAAAGAAATGTTTCATACATGACTTTTACAATAAAATAAAGATTACAGAAGCATACTGCACTCTCTCTGTCTCAGTTCAACTAATTTACATGAAATGGAATTATTTGACCATCCCAGCAGTAAATTTTCACTCATGCCAAGTTGGAAGATATGCTACATAGAGAAGTTTATTGTCTGTATGTACTCGGTCATACTCTAGTCAAACTGCAAACAACAAATAATCCAGATCTGCTATTGCACAATGCACATGAACATGACCTGTGCAGTTAGCAGTTGGACACATCTTTTAAGCTAAGTATATTCAGTAATGTTAGTAGCTGATGCAGAAGTAACCTACATCTTTCTCATTAAGAAAGTACTTATGGATCATTCAGGTTTTTTTTAGCAGAAATTATGCTCAAATGTAAGCATAGAATAAAATGTCAAATATGAGCATGTGCATAATGTTTTTCATTGTATCATAGGTATTTTAAGTATATTTTTTTTGTGGTATTGATTTTGGGTTCCCCAATGACATTTGTATATATTGTTTACATCCTGTACATGTCAATGTCTAATAGTCTATTATTATTATAAGTCATGTCAAACTACATAACAAATATCCCAATCTGCCATTGCATTGTGCACCTGCAGATCAGTGTCTATTTAGTTTGTTTACTGATTACTCCTAACAAACTACACCAACCCAAATCTGCCAACGCATTATGTGATGGCAGATCTTGGTCTGTGCAGTTTGCAGTTGGACTAGTCTTTTAAGTGAGAAATATGGTATATTTAATGTACACCCAAATCTTACAAATGCAGACTATGAGCTGCAATGACAAACTGTCCTGCAGATCATAGACTATGCTGTTCATACTGATCCACAAAGTTAGCTTAGACCTTGGCAGATTGTACAGTGGCAGATCTGAGTCTATGAAGTGCACATTATAATTGATGTATAAATAATTTTTAATTTTATTCTTAAGGTGTAATACATACTTGGGTGATTGAGTTTTACATATGTTTTAGAATACTGTTATGTGCATATTGAAGGAATCAAGAGAGTGATATCAAATCTTGACTTTAAATAAAATTGTGAGATAAAACAAAAGGAATGAATTGATTTCAGTGTTGTTTTTTAGAACTTTTTGTATAAAAAGAGATATCCACATTATAAACTGTTCATTGTTATGTCTGCATTTTTGTGATCCTTCATTCACATAAACTGAAAGACCCTTGCAGTTTTAGGATTGTCAAATGCATAAAGGGGATTAATGGCCATATCACAGCAAGATCTGAAAGTGAGATGTGTTCTACTCAAGGCATCTCTTTATACACCCACCAAAAGATGTAGCATATTATGTTTGTCCAACCATTCATCTATCTGTAAAATAATTCAAGACATCTCTATCATTCAGTTACCAAACGTGGATTACTTGCATCTGGGGTAAGGAAGAACCCTATTGATTTTGGGGTAAAAAACTTGAGGGTTATTGTCACTATGATTAAAGAAGACAATGGTTTCTGAACAAAAAATTTTTCCACCATCTATTTTCAAAGTTTGTGGATGACTTGCATTTGGATAAGAAAGAAGAGTATCATTGTGAGGATCAAGGTCACTGATTTTGGAGTCAAAGGTCATTTTGACTGAAGAAAATTGACTTCTGCACAAAAAGCTTTATCTACATAATAGACTATTAGACATTGAATGGGTGTTATGTAACTTTAATGGTACACTTTTAACAACTCGTGCAAACATTAAAATCTGTAATAGTGGATTCATTCCTTTGTTCATTCAAATAAAGTACTTGTTAGCCATGAAATATCTTTACGTTTATCAAATAAATACTTTATGTTCTGCTTGCACGTTTAATTGACAAGCATGATTTTTTAAAATGATCTGTTGTAATTTGTACACAGAAAAAATGCCATTTGAGAAGAATTTGTATGTAATGCATGTCCAGATGTGAAACCATGTGAAAAAAATGCGATTTTATAATAATATACATGTTGTGCAAAATGCATCTGCCAAAGAATTCCTGGGATGCATGATCATTATAATCATGAAAGCAATATGTTGTATTATACTGTTTAATTACTAACACAGCTTTTTTTATCTTAAATTTGTAATACTTTCAAGAGCTAATAAATTTTTTTAAAGCTATTTGTCCTTTTCATGTTTTCATAAACCTTATGTTATCTCAGTCTAGATTTTTAACTAAATCAGATGCTTCTACGCTTACCTCACTTGAGGCCATGATTACCTCACTTGAGACCATGATGACCTCACTTGAGACCATGATGACCTCAGCTGAGACCATCTTGTATTAAATCTTCCTGTAAGAAATGTATGATAGAAATCTACCAGGATAATGTGACTGGGTGGGACATCATGCTACAGGTCTGTGGTATGATGCCCCAGTGTTAGACACCACTATTAAGATTTCCCCAACATCTTACAAATCTAACAGAACTTACAAATGCTTACATAGAATGGGGTGTCTGTTGTCAGTATGCATGGAAGACATTTTTTCTTAATAGATACACATATATTGCCATGCTGATTATACAACTCAATTTCCATACCTGTTAGTAGGACAGTATTGATTTACTGCTACAGAGACATTATGTTTACATCTTCAGTATTCTGTTGAGTGATACTTGCATCCTTCTTGGGAGGCGACAGCTAATATGCACCTGTTAACTATGGGAGAAAAGCTAGCCATTCATTTTATTGTTTTATTCACCCAAGAAACTAATGTTTATTATACTAAACTACAGGTAATATCATTTAGCCCATACACCTACTGTCATTCATAGCTTTCTTTGCTTGCCCAATTCTTGATAGTTGACACTTTTTAAAATGAAATTACTTAGTTTAAATAACAAAAAATTCTGACTTCTGATATGCATGAAATTATATGTGCTCTACCAATGGACTTGCAGTTTGTGAATATGTAAAATCATTTACATTCTTTTTTCATATCCAAGCCTTCACCACAATGACTGTTTTCAACATGGACAAATGGCAGTGGTCTTGAAACTCTTATACAACATATATACAAGTATCACGACATTTACTAAATCAAGCACATACAGCTGTCTTGATGGAAGTTCTAAGTGTATTTACTTTTCTTTAGACTCTGAACATTGCCCCATTACATTTGATTAACACAACTGTGTCTAGGGCATACAATACAAACAGTATGTTACTATTTGCTGTGCATAATGTATATTTAATTTGTGAGCTTGACCCTTGTACATGATTGTTTTGTCTTACCTGTTTCTCATGTTCTTTGAGATGTTTACTAAAATTTGAGTTCAAAACTGGTTTTTCATGGGAAATTTTGGTCAAGTGTATTAGTAAACAAAATCTTCATTCCTGTTTAACATCAAATCTTTGGGAATCTACTAGTTTTTAGTTGTGTTGAGAAAAAAAAAACAATAGATTCCCAATGACTTATATGAAACAGTAATGAAGATTTTGTTTACAAACACTTTATGTCCTGATTCACTTGACCTAAGAAACAAAGGAATTTGTGTTTAGGAATGCCCCAGTAGCCTAGTGGTTAGAGCATCCGCCTCAGATGCAGGAGGTTGTGGATTCAAACTCCAGTTGAGTCATACCAAAGACTTATAAAAATGGTACTAACAGCTGCCTTGCTAGGTGCTCTGCATTAAGGGGTTAGTGTTAGGACTGGTCGGCATGGTGTCAGATTAATGTGACTGGGTGGGACATCATGCTACAGGTCCGTGATATGATGCCCCAGTGTTAGATACCTTTATACACTGCCACACTGCAGATATTGTAGTAATATGACTGAAGAATTGTTAAATATACATGGAAAACCAAATCAAACACACAGTAGTGCTGGGATATAATCTGAGAGTAATCATTTTAATTATTCATTAGAATTACAAAGTATTCATTGGCTTTTTGGAACAAAACACTACTTTGAGATTATTGTTAATTTATTCAAGACATTATGAATTACATCAAGACTATTTGTACATCAATACACTCAAAACTAGTTGTACATCACCACATTCAAGTCTATTGGTACATCAGCACATCAAAGATTATTGGAGTTCATTTGGAACATTCTATACTTTTGGACTTGTGATAGAACATTTAGGATTATTTGGTATTTATTTCATAATAGTGTAAATTCCTCTTAAATTTTCTCTTTGTATTCCATGGAAATAAATTATTGAATTTTATTAAAGTTGCGAGTTTTGCTTCTTTCTGTTACTTAGTTAAATTCACAGCAATAATACTACATTGGTTTCTGCTTTCTCTACTTATTGTATTGTATATTTTACCCATTTCAATACCTCTACTTTAAACTTTACATGACTACTTAAAGAGATATTATACCCTGGTCAAATTTCAAATTTACATGGCTATTAAAAAAGATACTGTACCCTGATAACCACTAGTATTTTCAACTTAACATGGCTATTAAAAAGATACTGTAACCTAATAAACACTAGTATTTTCAACTTGACATGGCTGCTTAAAAATATACTGTACCCTGATAAACACTAGTATTTTCAACCTGACATGGTTCCTTGACCAGTTTTATGCTTTGAGTTATTGTCCCTACAGCTGCACCTTAAATGGTTTTTGCAACTCCACTGTTAGTTGCATCATATTCTACTTGTGCAGTCTCTTTGTCTTTTGTATTTTTTTCCCAATATTTGTACAGGCTAATCTGATGCATCCAATTTGGTTATTGCATGCCACTGAGTTGCTCCCAGTATAGGCCAAGATATAATTATAAATGTATAAAACTTAGAAATCAACATTTATTAATTCTCTCAGTTATAAATGATGTAAGTACAGCTGTACTTGTTATGCAGAAAGATGAATTGGTGATCATGTATTTGATGAAAACATCTTATTGTTTATTATTAGTCGGCTGAAACAAAGTTACCAAAATATGTAAGGAATAATGCAGAATGAAGTGCAGTTCCAGCCTTATGTATTTTGAACTTTCCCATATGCATATACAGACCACATCTCATCAAAATAATCACAACAAAACTTCCAAATAAGTTCATTCTTTTAGGTCACCTCATTTCTGAGATCTATCAAATGTTCTTTCTGAATACATAAGTATTCATGTAGACCCAACCAAATGAGGTTAAAATCTTTGCACATCCTAACTCAGAACTCTAGATAACAGAAGTACAAATAGTTTTTTAAAGAAGTCTAAATGATAAATTTATAACCCAATAAAAACAATCAGTATAAACTGAGACAGTAAATTTCCTTGACCCAGACAATCTTGTGACCAAATGATTTGGCTGTTTCTGGTGGTAAGTACACAATTATTATTTTGGGGACAAAAATAAGTGGCCTGTCTGCAGAGGGAGTTGAGTTATAGATTGACCAGTTTAGGGAAGTTTCTGTTCCTTTTATTTCCATGTATATATTTATATCAATTTCATTTACAGTGACAACAATATATAAGAATTAGTTACAAGTAAAACAATATTTTGAACAATTGTCTAGCCACATTTTTCAAAATGAATCAAAACTGAGAATATGCATCTATCAACACTGGGACAATGCATGGATGCAAACAATGCTGCCTTCTATAAATCAAGGTGCCCTGGAAAAAAATCCTAGAGCACATCTGAATTTCACAAAGCTTATATTGCATATATTGAAAAAAGCATGACTATAATATCTAAAATATCATCCTGTACTTCAGCAATTTGGTATGTATATATTTATTGTACACAAGTAAACACTGTAGTCAATATACAAAATTAGGTTCTTGTACACTCTCTCCAAATTTACCTTATTAATCAACACCTTGAGTTGAATGCATACACTACATAATTAAAACAGATTTTATATCAATTTCTTGAATATTCAATGGATCAATGAACACCTTGGGTAATATATATTGTACATGTGTAAAAAAGTATACACATTTTATATTGATTTCCTGCATACACATGTTCCTGATTCATCACATTGATGGGCAACTGGGTAGTATATATGTCCTGCACACATGTACAGAAAGTATACACATTTTACATTGATTTCTTGTATAATACTCCTCTGATCAATTAACACCTTTTGCATTATTCATATAATGTAAACAAGTAGACATATTTTATATCAATTTCTTGTTTACATGGCCTCTTGATTTATATTAATGAACACCTTGGGCAGAATAATGTAATAGACCTAGGGGCTCTAAAGCTTTAATATAATGGAAGGGGAGGGTGGTTTCTTGTCAGAAGTTAAACTTATTATTACCTTTAGATAAGTTAACACATACCCCCCAATCTATTTCAAATGGTGTCAGAAGTGGGGTGTCATAGTTCTATGTGACATCCAGGATTGAACCAAAGTCCATTTTCAAAGTGTGGTGGCAACACCAATAGCACTAAATATCAACCTAAAATTTACTAGATGTTCCAAAGGAGGGCAAATTACCAGTTGATACCCGAGTGTTCCTTGTTTTGAGAATGGCACAAAATTCCAACTAAGAAACTGAATTTAGATAGAAAGACGAAGATCAAATTGAAATTGGCCAAGAAGACATATATATGGAAGAAAATTAAGTTTAGTACAACAGCTCTGACAAAGTCTATAATAATGAAGATGGTGGAGGTGTAACAAAGTATGAAGTAAGACATATGGCCAGGGGACCTAGAAACAGCAGAACAAGTAGTGTTTTTAGTATCAAGCCAGAACAATTTAGTGGAACTAAAGATTGTGAAGAATATATTTCCCTTTTTGAAATCTGCTCAGAGATTGGGCATTGGTGAGAATCAGAATGGTTCTAGCTTTGGCCAATAAGAGAGGACCAGCCAGAACGTCTACTGAGTTCTTACAAAACATTAGTGTGACAATTGGGACAAAGATCTGGCAGCACAAGACAACCAAGGAAGTAGCTGTCATGACTGGAATCCCATAAGGGCTTGTCTGGGGAGCCAATCAAGGAACCAGCAGATGATTTAAGACAAATGTCACAGAGGATATATGTCAACCTTGATTCAAGAGCTTAAGCACTGAACCAGATGCAAAGATATAGACTGTCAGACCATTGCACAGGCAGTCAAGATAATTGAGAGATATGAGGCTGTTATGGGTGATCAAGGAAAAAAAATCGACTGTCAGAGGAGTGTTCAGTCATTATAATCCTGGAAAGAATTAAAATAATGTAATCACAAAGTTACAGGTCACTTTAGAAGTCTAATACACTGCTAGAATGACTAGAATGACTGGAAAATATCAGATTTTCAAAAAAAAAAACAAAAATCAATCCTCGAGTAGGAATACAGGAAACATGTTTTTTATTCAGTGCACCAGACCACTATATCAGAAATTATCCCATTTATAAGAAACATCAAACTCAGACAAGCATTGCCATAAAAGGTCATGGAAGCAAGCCAAGAATAGGAAATGCAAGGGAGAGAAAAACTTTAAGCTGTCACCTCTATAGACCAGGAGTTGATGGATAAGGAATGCCAAATAAAAGAATATGTGACATGTAAGTGAAAACAGTAAAATGGGATAATGGTCTTTTTGGGAAAGCTGACCTCAATGGATTGTCAATATATTTCCTAATAGACAGCAGTTCTACATCTACAATACTTCCATGTGATAAATACTTGATGATGGATTATGACAAAAAACTGCCAATAGAGCAAACACACTTAAAGTTACTTGACATAAATGGCAATCAATTAAGAAAGCATGGGTGTTTCAATATGCCACTAGCTTGGTTCCTCAGTTTATCAAACAAATGTTTTAGTCTGCGACACAGACCTTTATGCCATTTTATGGCAAGACTTCCTGATGCAGAATGTCAGCAAAATTGATTATATAAGCATTTATTCCTCTACACAGATTACGGTGAGATACAATGTTACACTGGGGAAGAAACCAAGAGAAGAGACTATCACAGTACCCCCTCAATCTCAAATATAGATACCAGTTTTATTACTCAGATCGAGACACATAACTGATCAAGGCATTATCAAGACCTCTCCAAAAGTGTGACAGAAGAAAATCAACTCACAAGATGTATACATTCAAAAGCTGATAATCAAGTGGTACAGATATTCAGCTGTGGCTCAAAACCAGTTATCCTAAATCCAAAAATGAAAATTGGAACATGTGAGTGCTGTTATCATACTCCAAATATAGAGTTAACCCAGTGCAATGCAGTATCTACTGACAATTGGAAGCAGCAACTGTCAGAACATCTAGAAAAAGATTCATGGGAAAGGAACTCTGTCCACTTCAAAAACAAAGAAAGGGGGAGGTTAGCATCTTAACTGATAAAGTATCAGTATATCTTCTTGAAGTCATCTGAGGACATTGGAAGGACTAATCTCGTAAAACATATTGATACAGCCAGTGCAATTCTTACAAGGCAGCCTCCATGTACATTGCCTACTGGGAGAAGATAAACAGTGAATACCAAAATCAAGAAAGTTTTAGATCAATGAGTCATTGAGCCCTCAAACAGTGCATGGAGTTCCAACATAGTGCTAGTAAAAAAGAAGGATAATTCTACCTGATTTTGTGTAGACTACAGGAGACTCGATGATATAAAGGTCAAAGATGTGCCCAGGGTTGATGAATGTTGTGA